CCCCCCCCCAACCGCTGTCGCGCCGCCGCATCTCTTGACAGCCCAAGCGGCACGCCTGGCAAGTGGGAGACGTGTAGCATTCGTACCACGACGGTTCTAAGCGGAGCTCGAGCGCGGGGTTGTCCGCCACTAGAGATAGGACCAACCTGCTGTGCAGCAAGGCGTGACCGCACACGTTCCCTCGGCCCGCGACGCTCAGGCTCAGGAGCTTGAGAGTTCGCAGCGCCGGCGCCGTGACGGGGGTGAGGGCCCCGGCCAGCCCGTCGAGCACGACGGCGTTCAGCTCGAGGTGGTGCAGGGCAGTCAGTGATGGCAGGCCGGCGGGCAGCGGCTGCAGGTGCGGGTAGTCCGAGTCCAGAGGGCGGTCGTCGGCGATCATCAGGCGCTGTAGGCGGGACCGCGGAGACAGGGACAGGACGGAGGGACCGACGCGGATGTCTCTACATTTGTACTCGAGGCGCTGCGACTCCAGCTGGTCTGCGCGGCGCAGGAACTCCCTGGCGTCCAGCCGGCTTCTGCGTTGTCCCTCGTCCTCGCGTTGGAGATGAGGACGATAGACCAGAAGGGTGACCTGCCTGAGCGACTCGCAGGCGGCTGCGGCCTGCATGCTGGCGAGCAGTGCCACGATGGAGCTCGAGGCTCCACCGGCTTTCGCAGAGCGAGACTTTCTCCAGGGTCGCGGCGTGCGCGGCCAGCACGAAGCTGACGTACGGCTCTGCTGCTGGAGTGAGAGAGAAGTGCAGATAGTCCTGATAGACGGGCTTGGTGGGACCTCGCGCCGCGGCTTGCGCTGAGGAGGGACGGAGAGAGAGGGAGCCATCTCTCTCCTTGGTCCGAATCTTTGCGGCAGCCAGGCTGGACCAGCCGGGGGCCTTTCGCCGAGCCTTTGTCGCATCGCCGATGTAGCGAGTCTCTACAACTGGACTCATATCGTGGCCACGATGTCGCCCGCTGTTGTCGCGATTGTCTGACAGTGGCTACTTTTGGTCCGTCGTGTGGGCTGCCCACCTAAGCGCCGTAGTGAGTGTGGTCATGCGGCCGTCGTTTTGTATGGGCGTTTGTCGGAAAAGAAGGGAAAATGACCCGTTTCCAAAGTGCGGAAGAGCATTATTTATTCAACATTTTAGTAAAGGAAAATTTGAAACAACAAACCAGGCACCCTATATGCACCAAAAAACAAGTATATTTTGACCCCCTAGTAGAAGTGGTAGAAGGCATTCGGTAGAAATAAAACACAAAAGGAGCGCTAACGGAGGTCAGAGCACGAGTTGGTACAGAACATAAGAGGGCATCTTTCACATACTTCCACACAATATTATCTGAAATCCAAGTGTGACAATGTGACACCTAAAGCAAGAATCGTTGCGGCGTGTTGAGGAACGGCCCAAGTTGAAGCATAAATGTATTACACATGGATCCACGTGCACTCGAGGGCCCCTTCCCTGTTCCACTCGTTGTCATTGTGAGAACGATCAGTGTGTACGTCCGGTGAGGGACACTCGTCGTGGTCATGCGCGAAAAGGCCTATCTTCCTAAGCCCTCCCTCACGCCAATTTACTTGTTGGTGACAGACCGCTAGGCATGCCCCGCAGTTTTGGAGCACGCACTTGGGATAATACCCGAGCAGAATATGGAGCGAGGTGTTCGCGTCGAGGGTCGCCTTGACCGCGGCCTTGTGTATCCAGGGGTGGGGGCACCACGACAAGCGCCTAAACTCCAGCCTCCTCAAGGCCGGGGCCGTGGCGGGGGTGATGCTCAGGAGCAGCTTGTCGGCGTCGGGCGTAACTTCAGTAAAGTCCAGGTAGCGCAGGGCGGGCAGCGCGGGCAGCGCGCGGACCAGCGGGCCCATGTCCTCGAGCCAGCCCAAGTATAGTCGCTCGAGCTGTGATCGCCAGGACGAGGCCAGGGCATCGACCAGCACCGCGATGTCGTTGCCCTCACCGAATGGCAGGTAGACGCGTCGAAGTTGGTTGGCTCGGCGAAAGAACTCCGCAACCACCTCGACTTTGACGTTTATTTCCCCCAGGGAAATGCAGATATCGCTGAGCGTCCTGCACGCCGCCTCGGCCTCCAGGCCTCCAAGCGAGTCGTTGCAGCGCAGTCTTTGGAGTCTCGGCAAGGCGGCCAACAGGGCTGCCGTCGCCGTCTCCTTGATGTAGAAACCCGAGGCGAAGTCGACCTTCTCCAGCGTAGCCGCGTGCGCAATCAGAATGGCGTGCGCAAAGCATACCGAATACTTGACCACCGCACACCGGAAGTTCTTGAGCGACGCCCTGGGCGGCCCTTGTAGAACGGGGTGAGGTTTTTGGTAGTCGGCCATAGACTTCAAACGACTCCAGGGCGGAACAGGATACAACCGTCCTCAGCAGCTCGGCGTTTGTAGTCTTCGACCCGAGGTTTGAACAAAGCTCAAGCGGAAGCCTCCTAAGGCGGCCGTAGGACTCCTGGTTGCGCACGGCCGTGGCGTACTCCGCAGCGTTAAAGACCTCTTTCTTGTCGGCCCAACGGATCAAACCTGCTGCGGCGCACCTGGTCGTGGACGCCGCCAGGGTCGGAACTTCGCCCGACACGGTCAGCGTGTCGAGGCACGGGGCCAGGCGCAGCACCGCGCCCGCGCGGGGGTGGTCGTCGCGGAGGGACCGGTGGCGCCAGACGTCCCGGTGCAGGGCCAGGCCGCAGAGCCTCTTGCACACGAGGCGGCTGGCGAGGACGTCCTCCACGGACACGTACTGCAGCACCATCACGAGCACGTCGTCCGGGAGCTGCTCCAGGGTCAGCACAGACGTCTCCACATTATCCATGATAGTAGAACGTTAACTGCGGCCTAGAAACACGGAGGGACCTTACGTTAAACTTAACCACACGAAACACTACTGCTCCTATATGCACGTATAC